TACAAGAGATGCATTCACGGACACAGGCAAGATAAATGTGACGTTATAAATCCCAAAACTACCGAAACACAAGAGAAGAGTCCACAGCCTCTAACGAAGAATGAACGCAACTCAAAAGGCAAAGCCTCTGACACCAACAAGTCGTTATTGGGAAAACCAGAAGACGTAAAGAGCAAACTAAAGGATATTTGTATCACAGAAGACGACGTAAAGTACCGTATGACGAGAGTATCTTTAGAAGACATCAATCTGTTTGTGGTAGAAACGGGAATCGCTTGCAACGTTCAGGTAGGCTTTTATAGAGCGTTTCGTGTATAATGTTTGAACCCAACCAATACTTAAGAAGGTGGTGAAGCTTGTAAATATATTATGTAGCGCATTTTTAGGGTWCTAAGTTAGTTGCTTTACACAAATAAATGCAAATCAAAGACACTTCAGTGTTATTGCGACACATTCAGTCATCCTGTCAATGCCATGCAACACTGATGAATAAAACATAAGCCATGTATCAGATTTACCTAAGATTAATATATTGCCTCAACTCAGAGAACTCATAAATTAGCAATTATTAGTTTTAAACATGATTTTTTTTGTAGTTGAGTCCTATTCGCCTTGCTACCTGTACCTTACACTGCGACAATTCGACAACTGGTATAAGTATGTTCATACAGAATGTCAAACTACGTCAGTTTATCCTTGCTCCAAAGCCATTGGTAGCCGATCCTGTGTTTGAGGACATTCACAAGCGAATGTCTCTCTCTGARGATATAGTTTGGATAGAGGCTGCTGGAGTACAGCTAGGACCAATTATTTCTGATATTTCTTTGGCAGAAGAAATAAAAGGTGCTTTGTGTGRAAAAGCAAGAAATAGTTAAAACATATTTTTTCTTTATTTTTACATCAAAATATTAAATCTTATTTTTTATACATTCTTTACAGTCAAACTACCTGAAGCGTGAACACGTAGAGATCATTAATGAATTCATTATTCCATTATTGATTTGATTCTTGGATTCAAATATTCATTATTGAGTTTATTAGTCAACTTTTCCAAATTTTGAAAATGTGCAGTTATCAACCATGCACATATTATTTTCATTTATTCTATTCGTTTTTGCATGTTTGAATATTTTTCAATATTCAAAACTTCATTTGAACAATGYATATTTGAATTCAAGAATCAAATCAATAATGCAATATTGAACTCATTAATGATCACTAGGTGTTCATGCTTCAGGTAGTTTGACTGTAACAACTAAATGATCTTAGCATTTCCTGTAGATTATTTTTTCCTGCATGCTGTAGATTATTTAATCTTTTTGAATCTGACAACGCATTTTCAATAATGTGAACTGAGCTAGCTCGATCAGTTCCAAACTACCACTCTCCTTACGGAGAAAACTGACTCGTCGAGGAAGTACCGGCTAAAACTGAGAGACTGAGTGCGTTTTTTTTTCTTTTTGCAGACCATGTCGTTGACCAAAAGAGTTTTCTTTCACTCCACGACAAGAAGTATCAACGTCTATGGTTTCTGTGGAATTCATCGAGCGTATACAAGTCTCCAGTAAAAAACTTTGGCTGTTGTGGCTGTATTGGGGGCTGCAACTTTTTCGGAAAAAATATAAATGGACCTCGGTTCTTTACGTCGGAGAAACTGGAGGCAAGCAACAACGATACTGGAATTGCAGGTTTTGGTAGTGAAGGAGGACTTTACGATGAAGGTGATTTCCACGATGAAGATACCAAGCCACTCATGTATTCCCGTGATGCTCTTGGGTCAGCATATTTAGACCAAAGTCCCGTGGGCTCAGTAGAAGCATTTACTCGTAAACGTTATCACGGCTCAGAAGCAAGTAGTCCACGTCTCAAGAGAGGATATCTCATGCGTACTAGACATGGCAACACCGATGAAAACAGTAAGACATTATACTATTTGAAATTATAATAAAACAGCATTTACCTTCCGCTATCATTGGTGGAGAGTCGACCACGTGACGCGATAGTGTCCGCTGCTTAGGGTTACTATATCAGTGAATAGAGAGCGACTCTTCAGAAAATTATGTTGTTGAATAATAAAAATAGACCACTTGAAATCTCGGTATATTGCTGAGATGGTTGCCATTCTTATAAATTGAATGCTCTTGTTCCCAAAACTCCTCACGTCTAGTTTTTTACCGAGAGAGAAAGAACAGCAGACCCTGAAACACTCAAAGAGATTAACAGTTTGCAGAAACTGAGGCTGCTTTTCAATTAATTCCCCCAATTAGGAAAACAAATCACAGCAGTGTCTGATCAGCGTTTTCTAGTTTAAAGTTCGTTATTCGCTGTTTGTTTTCCATAATATTACTATTTGATTGTTGTTGTTATCGTAGCCGTTCTTAAACATTTTTGTTGTTTTGCTTTCTTGATTTTTGTTTTACATTCTTGTCTACCTTGTCAATCCTTTCTTACATTATTCGTTCATGTTTAAATCCCGATTAACACCAAGTCTACGGGATGATCACAGCTTAATGCCGGCTATCCCGATTAACACCAAGTCTACGGGATGATCACAGCTTAATGCCGGCTATCCCGATTAACACCAAGTCTACGGGATGATCACAGCTTAATGCCGGCTATCCCGATTAACACCAAGTCTACGGGATGATCACAGCTTAATGCCGGCTATCCCGATTAACACCAAGTCTACGGGATGATCACAGCTTAATGCCGGCTATCCCGATTAACACCAAGTCTACGGGATGATCACAGCTTAATGCCGGCTATCCCGTTTAAACAACTTTGCTCTGTTGACTAACAGAAATAAAATTTGCATTCATTTTGTAAATATAGATACAAATGACCCAGCATCACGATTAAGCTGGCATGATTCACTCCAGAGATCGCCATCAATAGCGTCGAGTAAGAGGAGATTCATGCCAACTGGCAGCCTTAGCAGCTCCAAGCCAAGTCTAGTCAAGAAACCGCGAGCCCAACCGTTGACTAGCTGTTCATCGCAAGGATCGTTCTACTCGTGTGGGAGTCTTGTTGAAGATGATTTGGATGCTAGTGTTGAGTATGTAACAATTGCAATTCAAAAGTTTGCGAACTCAAAGTTATTGCGGTAATGTTTAGACGTGCCCTTAGGTAGTACTGCGTCTTGTGAGGGCTGAAATAGAAATCAAGCTAATTTTGATTATCGAAAAAATTCACTTAAGAAATTTAGCACTGAAAAATAAGAAAATGAAAAATGGAAAAAAGGGATGATATCGCTGCGAGCAGGGTTCGAACCTGCGCGGGAAGATCCCATTGGATTTCAAGTCCAACGCCTTAACCACTCGGCCATCGCAGCTTCGATGAGTATTTATGTACTCGTTTACATCAAACGTCTTTTGTGATAAATAACTATGGTGGTTGTACATCCATGCAATCACTCCCAAAATAACCCTGGACATGATTTTCATATGTCACACTTTTATTTTTTCAACGATATTCTATATGACATAATTTCATTTATCATATAATTATCTATGAAATACCTATATTTGAAAACTATGGAAAATGCGAGTGTTTTCGTCTCCGGTAAAACATTATTATCAACTAATATCATTTATTATAACTCTATTTACTTTCCTATAATTCCAGGGTACCAATACACGGTGCATATTCTACAGAGTCTTTTACATCAGCCGTCGAAAACCCTCATGAGCTTCCTGACTTTGTTGATGGAGCATCACCCCAGTTATCCGACTTTGTTGTGTCGTGTCCTCAGCTTGTGAGTCGTTACTCTCAGCAACTATCACAGCTGGAATGTTTAAACTGGAGTATTCCTGCAGATATCCCGTCTAACAAGAGAGTCTTTAATATTGTTGAAAACTTGAAGGTAATAATACACAATATATTGTAATGGGGAGAGATTAGACAACGCACAACTTTAGATAAATAATATAATTAAGACATTAGGGGTAGACCTTTTAACTTTTGAGGGGGATGATTTTGTCCGTGCAAGAATTTTTTTAGGACTTCAGGGCGTGCATATAATATTTTTTTGTATATTTACAAAAGCTTTAGTGCAAATTCTTCAACATTTTGCCTTTTTTTAATCTTCCTCCCCCTCCCCCTCCCCCCTTCAAAATTCTAATGGATCGCCCCTTAATGGCTTGTTTACACTTTTACACTTTTCCCAGCGACATGTCTTGCAATGGCATGTTCACAAATTGCGTGTGACGTTGCTGTTACATTGTGCGCAATGGTGCTGCAAGTTACTGCAGCGGGCTGTTACTGTAAATGACCTGACAGCCTGAGTTTATGTCTTTGCCGCGTTACACCTAAACAAAAACCCAAAAAAAGGAATCCTTGCAAAGTGTAGGAGATCAAACCCGCTATATTTTAACCTGGTTTCAAACTACCTCCACAGGAAACTGAACCKAGCGATCCACTCGTTCTACCAGGCGTTCCACAATTCAACTACCGAAATCCTCCAAGGTTCAAACAACCCTTGCTTATTAAAAAGTCTCAGATTCGAAAAGGAGATCAAAGAGATCAAGAGAACGAAGCTGATGTGAGCTCTACGAGCACAGAATCTGTACATGTTGTTGCAGATGGTAACATATTGAGGAAGAGTTACAGAGAAGATGACAGGTACGTTCATCCATTCATCCATTCATCCATGCATCTGTTAGCTCATTTATCAGTTTGATTAAATGAATTGATTGATTGACGGTGGATTATTTCATGACTGATTGACGAACGGTATTATTGATTGCTTGATTGACGGGTGTTAGAATTGATTAAATGATAAAGTGTTTGGTGAACGGATTTTGTGATTGATTGGAGGATTGATTGATTAAATGATTAATTAATCGATTYGTTGATTGATTGATCAGTMGTATGAGTGATTGATTGATTGATTGACCGATGAGTTGATTAATTTGATGATTAAAAGATTGATTAATTGATTGTTTGACGGATGGCATCTTTCATTAAATGATTGATTGACGGATGATATGAATGATTAAATGAGTGATGAAGTGATTTTGAGTCATCTTTCCGATTCATCCCCTGTAATTATAATCCTTAATGTCATCATTTTATATGATTATCTGTCTATCTATTCACTCCTGACAATGTGTTATACTAAGAAATAAATATTCCTCTATTTGTAGCCTTGAAGAAAGTAGTGAAGCCGACTCTGTACGCAAGGCAACATGGAATTCAGCTTTAAACGAATACAGTCGAATTTCTACAACAACAAGTGACACGCTGACTAAAAGAACCTCGACCACCACATCCAGCTCTCTTCAAAACCTGATCATTTTTAGATTTGATGGAGAAGTAAACGTGTTTTTCACTCCACTGTTGTTGGATGCTTTACAACGGTATGTTGATAATCTCTGTGCCAATTTATTATTTTTTTAGAGAAGTGAGCTCATARCTTAAAGGTCCACGTGTATCCGAGAACCTTTGCACGATTTTCTCGCCATCTTTGATTTCTGAACAATTCAGGATCAACTTTCAACATAAGGTCCTTTGCAAAACAAAACAAACAACCGCAGAGTTTCTCGGGTG